GATCATGTCCATTCCCATGTAGGTGACACCCAAGCAGATGGAGGAGGTAGGTTTGGAGTTCAACAACAAGCGGACTGTAACACTGCCCTGCTGAATCCAGCATCGTCTCTAGCTTGCTGTGTGATGGTGTAGTGCAGGGGTGGCCAACCTGTGGCTCTGGAGCCACATGCGGCTCTTCAGAAGTTAATATGCGGCTCCTTGTATAGGCGCCGACTCCGGGGCTGGAGCTACAGGCGCCAACTTTCCAATGTGCCAGGGGGTGCTCACTGCTCAACCTCTGGCTCTGCCACAGGCCCTGCCCCCACTCCACCCCTTCCCGCCCCCTTCCCTTAGCCTGCCGTACCCTGGCTCCTCCCCCCCCCCCAGAGCCTCCTGCCTGCCATGAAACAGCTGACCAGGAGGTGCAGGGCGGGAGGCAGGGGCTGCTGGTGGGCGGGAGGTGCTGGGAGCGGGGGGAGGGCGGGGAGCTGATGGGGGCTGCTGACGTATCACTGTGACTCTTTGGCAATATACACTGGTAAATTCTGGCTCCTTCTCAGGCTCAGGCTTCACCTGGACCCACAGGTTCTGTGCCATCCATCTCAACAATTCTTGGTGCGCCCTGTGGTCATCCTGTATGGGTGCCACCAAGATACCTGTAACTGCCTCATCTGGAGAGGAGGAAGAGGATCCCAGAACCAGCACCTTGCTCTTGGCCGTCTGCTCCTGGCCGGTCCTGTGGTGCTGGTCCCTGATGTACGGTACCAGGCTCAGTATTTTGGTCCTGCCCCTGCACCACTAGAGAAGGAGGCAGCAGCGGGGCTCTAGTTTCCAGTGCCACCGAGTAAGACGTCCTTGACTGGGGTCCTTGGGACTGATGGAAAGCACTCCACAGAGTCCCAAAGGGCTATTTACAGGCATCTGCCACTGTGCTGGCCAGCCCGCAGGAGGCAACCCCTGGCTCATGTCCTCCATACAGGACCGACGGTCTGAGTGGTGCCAACTCCTGTGAGAGGTATAGGACTCCGGCTCCGAGGATTCACTCCCCAGAGGACCATGGAGGTGTGGTGCTGGCAAGTGGTGCTGGGATGAAGGCAACCAATGCTGCTGCATCATTGCTGGCTTTCCTTTCAATGGCACCTGGGGCCTCGGTACCGTAGCTGGCTTTGCCTCCGGTGCTGGCTCACATCTAATTGGCAACAGTGGCACTGGGAGGGACATCAGATCCTGTGCCACCTGGAATATGTCTGGCGTAGATGGGAGCGCCAGTCACACACTCCTATGGCTCTCCCTTGGGGGAAGAGTCCAACGGCATTGGACTCGACGGCTCCCTCCCTGGGGCCAGAGTCAACGGTGCCGCAGCAGCAGCCATTGAGCCTTGTGCGGTTCTCACTCTGCCAGAGTCCTTCTGACTGGTGGGCTTTGGGGTAGGGGAGTGTCCCCTGCCTGGTTTTGTGTTGCTTCTTGCGCGGTACTGGCGAACGGGAGTGGTGCCACGTGCTCTCCTGTGCTGACCTCCTTTGTACCGGCAACCTGTGGTGGTGCCGGGAGTCATGTGACACCAGCAAGGAATCTCTCCTCGGCGCTGGAGAGGTTGGGCTGCGATGCCTGTCCCTCACAGAAGCAGGTGTATTCCTCACAGAGGCAGAGGTGCTCAGTGCTGAGTCATGATGATTTGGCTCTGAGGGATGAAGAGCCGCTTCCATCAGGAGGAACTTAAGTCTCTCTGTGATGGGTTGGATCACAGAAACCCCCTTGGGGCTGCCAACTGATGTGCCAAGATTACTTCTGCACCTGCTTTCCCTGCCAGCTTGGGACTCCAGCACCCTGTCTTGTTGAGCCAGACACGCCAGTCTGCTCCAACACAGACCCAGGGTCTGAACCACGTGCCCCAAAGCTGCAGACTTAACTGAAAGCAACTTAAGAAGTGTTCCTGTCTAACACTCAGATGCCCAACTCCCATTGGGGTCCAACCCCCAAATAAATCCGTTTTAACCTGTATAAAGCTTATACAGGGTAAACTCATAAATTGTTCGCCCTCTATAACACTGATAGAGAGATATGCACAGCTGTTTGCCCCCCCCAGGTATTAATACATACTCTGGGTTAATTAATAAGTAAAAAGTGATGTTATTAAATACAGAAAGTAGGATTTAAGTGGTTCCAAGTAGTGACAGACAGAACAAAGTGAATTACCAAGCAAAATAAAATAAAACACCCAAGTCTAAGCCTAGTACAGTAATAAAACTGAATACAGATAAAATCTCACCCTCAGAGATGTTTCAATAAGTTTCTTTCACAGTCTGGACGCCTTCCTAGTCTGGGCACAATCCTTTCCCCAGTCCAGCCCTTTTTCCAGCTCAGGTGGTAGCTAGGGGATTTTTCATGATGGCTGCCTTTGTTCTGTTCCACCCACTTATATATCTTTAGCATAAGGCGGGAATCCTTTGTCTCTCTCTGCCTCCCCCCCTTCTAAATGGAAAAGCACCATGTTAAAGATGGATTCCAGTTCAGGTGACATGATCACATGTCACTGTAAGACTTCATTACCCACTTGCCAGCACACACATACACAGGAAGACTTCCAAGTAAAACAGAGGATCTACAGACAATTGTCCTGGTTAATGTGAGCCATCAAGATTCCAAACCACCATTAATGGCCCACACTTTGCATAATTACAATAGGCCCTCAGAGTTATATTTCATATTTCTAGTTTCAGATACAAGAATGATACATTCATACAAATAGGATGAACACACTCAGTAGATTATAAGCTTTGTAATGATACCTTACAAGAGACCTTTTGCATGAAGCATATTCCAGTTACATTATATTCACACTCATTAGCATATTTTCATAAAATCATATAGAGTGCAACGTCATACTCTGGTCCCTTTCTTTTTGGGTCTGGGGCTTGAAACCTCTACAAATCCTGCAACGATCACGCAGTTGGGATTCGCCCAAACACTTGAGGCAAGCTGAGTGGGGATCACTGATAGGCACAGGCTTGTGGCAAGCCTTGAATGGCTTAAACCCCAGAGACCAAGGCATTCCCTGGTGCTGGGCAGGAGAGAACCCTGATAAGTGGGGTCCTACTCTATACTAGCAACTAGTAACTTCTGCAAACACTTACTAACATTTTTAGAACTATTTACAGGAAAATATACAAGTCCACCGGGGAGAGTACTTGCAGAGCAAGAAAGAGCAGTTCCAGCGACCGTCACAGGTGGAAAGAAGGAATTGAGGGGGTGGCAGGCCCCTATATACAACGCCATGAGGGTGTGACTCCAGGGGGCACCGGAGCTGATGGATACCACTGAGGGAAAAGCCTTCTGGCGACTGTGCACGCAGTGCACGCACATCTACATGGGAATGGACATGAGCAACCGCCCAAAGAACTTTTCAAACTGAATATTTTTAAAAGAATGTTTAGAACACTGTTTTCACATAAACCATTATGCTATGCACTATAACCTTCCACTGCCATCAGTGATACTCTCTGACTTAGAGTTTGGTGCGAAGCTTCAGGCCACTCTTGGGCACAAACTCCATTCCAGATCATTCACCAGTTAGGAAAATGCTACCACACATCCCAACAGGCAAACCAAGAAATGGAGACACCAGAAGCCCACTATCACTTTTACACTGGATGGGTGTCACAAAAGCAAAATGATACTGGTTTACTTCAGTGACATTGTGGTCAAGTTAAGTTTTTATACAATGCTAATGTTTTTTCTTCCAGCTGCAGTTGTAATATCTGATATTCCTGTAAATGCCTGCTCCTCTCCAGGGGAAATATGCCATCTATGTTCCATGCTATTTAGCTTCTCAAGAAGCTTCAGACACCATAACGCCTACAAAGGTGACAGTGGTACCACTCCATTAGTCTGCAAAGTTCTGATCCACCATGTAGCAATCCTACTATAAAACTGCTGCCCTATCTTACGTATGAATCAAGTGTTTGTATTTAAGTGTTTCCATTCCTCTGCTTGCCTCAATATCAGGATCCAAATCTTCCCCTTTTTAAAAAAACAAAAGTTCAGGTGGTAGCTAGGGGATTTTTAAGTATAAAAAGTTCATAACAACCAACTAGCCAGCACCCGCAAGCACTTCACACTGTCAGCCCAGAGGCCTAGTTCAAGTTTTGGACCCAATCTATTGCTTGCTTTGCCACAGGACTCCATCTACCTCCATTCAAACTTTTTGAAAGGAGCATAAACAAATGTGCAACTTTTTTACTTTACTGAAATACTAAATACCATGTTTACAGCACTACTTTGAACAGGTGCCTTTCAGATCCAGCCCACAATGATTATGGTGTGTCGGCAGTAGCTTTAATAAATACTGTCCTGCCTCCCTTTGTAACAGAAGCATTTGCATATATTAGAAGTATCTGAATTTTTGCACATGGAAAACAGCAGAAACCTATCCACCCCCCTTTTTAAAAAAAAAAGCAGTCTTCCCTTTTTTTAACCTACACATCCAACGAATATATTTTGGAAGATCAACTTTAATTATTGTGCCCCTTTATACAGAGTGATAGAAGCAACACACATTAAAACTATATTTCTATGGTTAAGTTCAGCAAACTATGATATGCATTATTTTTATTATTAGGACCCCAAGACTATTAAACATTCTTATGATGATTGACGTTTAGTTAAAAAGTTCCACAGAAACCCTTAATTCTCAAGGACAAATTTGCCAAATGAGAAATTTTAGAAAACCATGACTTAATACAGTCTAAACTGTAGTTAGAAAATGCAACAACCCTGTGACAAGGTTATTAAATTAAAAACTAAATGCCATCCTTATTGACCACTGTTTAATGTATAAAACATATAATGCTCTTTCTTGAAATGCCACAAAATGCCACACTTTGAATAAGTGTTCTTAAAAGCTCCAATTTCAGTTGACAAATGATAATAGAGTCTGACCTGCTGAATGAAATAAATACAGATTCCTGGCTGCTTCATAGGTTAGTGAATAGGAAAAAAAAGTTGTTTTTGTTTTCCAGTACCTGCATGAAGCCAGATCTGAGCCAGAGTCATCCAAGGATGCAGAGGACCTTGCTTAGGAGCACTGCTCTGCAAAGATGAAGCAACCTCAGACAGTGCCTGCTCCACTCTGGAGGCTGCTATTGACGTTGCATGGACTGAACCTGTAGAAGTAATAAAAAAATTACATCAGTGTGGAGAGATGGGAGGGAAAGGAAGGAAGACAAAAATGTTCACAAAGGCTGGGTTAAATACTACATCTTAACCCTTTCCATAACACAGGCTTCATCAAAAAAGCTAACTTGGGTCTTAACTTTTGGATGTTTGCTGTCAGTCTTTTTCTGATGTAAAATGCACAAATGCGAGTGAATCTACACTAAAATCATATTATGATTTTACTAACAGCAATGTTTGATGCCAATTTGAGTAGCCACTGTGAACACTGAAGATTTAACTGAGCATTTCATTTAGGAGTATAAATGATTCAAAGAAGGTTTGTGATGGCACTATATGCTGTAACCTTTATGCTGCTGCATGCACTTTGATGTTAGTAATTGCAATGTCTTTTCATAGAGTGCAATTAGATGACTATTTAAAGGCTAATAATAGATTGCAAAAAAGAAACACAGAACTAAAATATATAAGCTGAGCACAATGTGCCCCTGCATGGATACACGATTAAATTGCATGGGATTTAAACTTTAGCTAATCAACAATGTTGAAGAAAATGTTTAGCAGTCAAATAATTCCTTGCAGGAAGAATATCTTGAAATGCGGAATGGAATGCATTAGTCTCTCAAAATAAAGCTTTTCTGAGGGATAGGACAGTTACCTGTTCCGTAACTGGCATTCTTCGAGATGTGTTGCTCAGGTGTATTCCACAGTAGGTGTGCGTGCTCGCCACGTGCACCGGTGCCGGAAGTTTTTCCCTTAGCAGTACCCGTAGTGGGGGGGCCCCGCTGCGACCCCTGGAGTGGCGCCTCTATATCGTGCTATAAAGGGGGCTGCGCGCTCCCCCCACTCTCAGTTCCTTCTTGCCAGACAACTCTGACAGAGGGGAAGGAGGGCGGGATGTGGAATACACCTGAGCAATATATCTCAAAGAACGTCAGTTACCGAACAGGTAACTGTCCTTTCTTCTTCGATTGCTCCTGTGTATTCCACAGTAGGTGACTCCAAGCTATACCTGATGGAGGTGGGTAGGAGTTTAAGGGTTACGCGGGCGGAGTACCGCCCTACCAAATCCCGCCGCGTTTGGGAGACGATCACATAGCGCGATGAAAAGGTGTGGACAGAGGACCATGTAGCAGCCCTACAGATGTCCTGAATAGGGACATGAGCCATGTAGGCAGCCAACGAGGCCTGAGCTCTCGTCGAATGAGCCTTCACTATAAGAGGCAGGGAAACCCCTGCCAGGTCGTAACATGTGCGTATGCACGAGGTGATCCAGCAGGAGATCCGCTGGGTGGAAACCGGCTGCCCCATCATGCGCTCGGCCAACGCAATGAAAAGCTGAGGGGATTTCCGGAATGGCCTGGTCCGGTTTAGGTAAAAAGCGAGTGCTCTATGCAGGTCTAGCATGTGCAGGCGTTGTTCCTCATTGGAGGAATGGGGCTTAGGACAGAGGACTGGGAGGAAAATGTCCTGATCAATGTGAAAAGTTGAGGCTACCTTTGGCAGAAAAGCCGGGTGCAGACGGAGCTGGACCGTATCCCTATGGAAGACCGTATATGGGGGTTCAGAGGTCAGGGCCCTAAGCTCCGAGACCCGGCGGGCTGAGGTGATAGCCACCAGGAATGCCACTTTCCATGATAAGTGGGACCAGGAACACGTGGACAAGGGCTCAAAGGGGGGGCCCGTGAGGCGGGAGAGCATTAGGTTCAGGTCCCAGAGCGCGACCGGGGGTCTGGCGTAAGGGAATGCCCGATCCAGCCCTTTTAAAAACCGGGATGTCATGTGGCACCAGCCCTTGGGTCCTAAGGGACAGGAGGTAATCGAGGATGAGCTGGAGATATGCGGAGGAGGGGGAGGAGCCCCTCTCCCTCACCCACGTGGAGAACCGATACCATTTGGCCAGGTAGGTTCGTCGTGTGGATGGTTTCCTGCTCTCAAGCAGAACCTGTCTAACATCCTCAGAACACCTCCCCTCCTCCTTGTTTAACCATGGAGCAGCCACGCTGTCAAGTGAAGTGCGACCAGATTGGGGTGGAGACATCCTCCCTCCTGGGAGAGGAGGTCCAGTCGAAGCGGGAGTCTGCGCGGGGGGGCCACTAGAAGTTGCAGGAGGGTCCCGTACCAATGACGACGGGCCCAATCCGGGGCTATCAGGATAATCCGCACTCTGTCTGCCTTCACCTTCTGTAGGACCTTGCCTATCAGGGGGAAGGGCGGGAAGGTGTAGAACAGGCGGCCCGACCATGGAATTAGGAACGCGTCCGATATTGCCCTTTCGCCCTCTCCTGCCCTGGAGCAGAACCGAGGGCAGAGGCGATTCTGGACGGTGGCGAAAAGATCTACCTGGGGAGTGCCCCACTCCAGGAAGAGCCTCTTGGCCACCTCCCTGTGTAGAGACCACTCGTGCTGTTGGGAGAAAACCCTGCTTAAGCGATCCGCGAGCGTATTGCGCTTGCCGGGCAGGTGAAAAGCCCTCCAAAGGATATTGTGGGCTATACAGAACTCCCACAGGTGCTGGGCTTCCTGGCGCAAGGCCACGGAACGCATGCCCCCTTGTCTGTTGATATAATACATTGCGGTCGTATTGTCTGTGAGGACTCTGACCACTTTTCCCCCTAGGTGTCAGCTGAAAGCCACGCACGCCAGGTGTACCACCCTGAGCGCCTTGACATTTATGTGCAGGGACAATTCCGGGGGCGACCATCTGCCCTGGGTTTTGAAGCTCCCCACATGGGCTCCCCAGCCTAGGTCCGAGGCATCCGACACCAGATCTTGTGAGGGAGGGGTCTCCCTGAAGGGGATACCATGAAGCATGTTGCTCGGGAGGGACCACCATTGCAGGTTGGCCACTACATTGGGTGGCAACGTGACAACCTTGTCCGGGCCGTCCCTGGCCTGGGAGTACTGGGAGGCCAGCCAGAGTTGGAGGGGCCTCATCCTGAGCCTGGCGTGTCGCACCACGGAGGTGCATGCTGCCATATGGCCTAGGATTTGAAGGCACACCCATGCTGTCATCACAGGGAAGGCCGTGACCGAGGCGATGAGACCTTTGAGTGTTTCGAACCTGTCCCGGGGGAGGGAGGCCATGGCCTCCACCAAGTCTAACGGCGCCCCTATAAAGTGTATGCGCTGAACCGGGACTAACGTGGACTTGTCCTCGTTTACTACTAGGCCTAGACTCGTGCAGGTATCAAGCAGGAATTTCATCTGCACCTGCACCTGGGACCGAGACCTGCCCTTGAGCAGCCAATCGTCCAGGTAGGGGAAGATCTGCAACCCGTTCCTCCTGAGGTGGGCTGCCACTACCGCCATGCATTTGGTAAAAACCCTGGGGGCCGTGGAAAGGCCAAAGGGAAGGACCGTAAACTGATAGTGGTCTCTCCCTACCAGGAAGCAGAGGAAGCGCCTGTGGCCCTCGAAAATATGGATATGGAAGTACGCATCCTGGAGGTCCAAGGCTGCGAACCAATCCCCCGGGTCTAGGGACGGAACAATAGAGGCCAGGGACACCATATGGAATTTGCAGCGGACCAGAAACTGGTTGGATTCGGCAGGTTGAGGATGGGCCTGAGCCCGCCTTTCGCCTTCGGGATCAGGAAATACTGGGAGTAAAACCCCTTGCCCTGGAATTCGTGAGGTACCCTCTCCACCGCGCCCAGGGTGAGGAGGCGCGTCACTTCCTGATTTAGAAGGAGGGCGTGCTCTGGGTCTCCGGGGACATTGCGGGACGGAGGATGGTGGGGTAGGGGTGAATCGAACTGCAGCATGTACCCCTGGGAGATGGTACTGAGGACCCACCGGTTCAACGTTATATGGGACCATTGCACTCGGAAGGCAGATAAACGGTTGCCAAAAAACGACTTTATTAACTGGGGGGTTTCCCTGGCAACAGGACCGGTGGCCCCCTGCAAAGAGTCAAAAACCCCTCTTCCCCTGCCTCTTGCCCTTCGAAGGGCTGGGGCGTGGGGCCGAACGGGACTGGTGCTGTGACCTGTGCCTGTGGTCCTTAGCCCTCTTAGGCGGGGGCTCATATCTGCCACTTACAGGGGGAGCCGAGGGCTGCGGCCTGGGTTTGTCCTTGGCTGGCGGGACATACAGGCCGAGAGTCTGCAGGGTGGTGCAGGAGTCCTTCATCCTGTGCAGATGAGTGTCCGTTAGGTCTGCAAACAGGGCCTTTCCATCAAAGGGCAGGTCCTGCATGAGGGACTGGGATTCCACGGACAGCCCCGACAGCGAGAGCCACGACGCCCGTCGCATGGAGATAGCCGAGGCCATCGAACAAGCCGCTGTGTCGGCTGCGTCCAACGCCGCTTGGAGCGCCGCTTTCGCCGCTGCCGCACCTTCGTCGACTACAGCCTTGAATTCCTTCCTGTCCTTTTCTTGGAGGGAAACTTGAATTTCAGCAGAGACCCCCACAAGTTAAAATCATACCTGCTCAGGAGTGCTTGATGGTTTGCCACCCTGAGCTGGAAACTCGCAGAAGAATAAACTTTTTTCCCAAAAGCGTCTAGTCTCCTGGCGTCTTTATCCTTGGGGGTGGGTGCGGGCTGGCCGTGTCTTTCTCGGTGGTTGACGGACTCCACAACCAGTGAGTTCGGGGCAGGATGAGTGTACAAGTACTCATGTTCCTTCGTTGGCACGAAGTACTTCTGCTCTGCCTTCTTAGAAATGGGCGGCAGAGAGGCAGGGGTTTGCCAGAGCCCGACAGAAATATTGGCTACCCCTTGGTGGAGCGGTAGGGCCACACGGCCCGGTGCCGAGGAGGACAGGACATTAAACAAAGTGTCCGATGGCTCCTCCATCTCCTCAGCCTGGAGCTGGAGATTTGTGGCTACGCGTCGGAGAAGCTCCTGATGAGCCTTAAAATCCTCCTGAGAAGGAGGGTGCGGTGCCGCTATGGACTTGTCCGGTGCCGCCGAGACGACCGGTACCGCCCCTAGGGCATCGGGCGGTACCGTCGGGTTGCACTCCACGTCTCGGTCCGAGTGCG